CTGGAGCCTGCACAAGGCTCCCCAGAGCCAGTGTGTCCACAACTCCCAATTCTGCACCCTCTGATGCTGGTAGCTTGAAATCTCTCGTGGCAGGGATGTTCGCAGGATGGAAACTGCCAGTGCCACAAATCAGGATCTTTTCTTCCTGGAGAGATGGCTATCAAATGTTTACCAGCATGCCATGGAGGAGACTGGGTCTCCAAAGGAAAATGTGTGCATTAGTACCAGCTTCAAGGAGAATGTGTGATGGAAGGGCACAAACAGCAGCAGTCCAGCATGGAAGGAGAGCTTCACTTGGGACATTGATAATAAGATAGCCCCTAGTTTCACTGAGCGCTTACTAAGTGCCAGGCATTATACTCAGCACTTTATGACATTCTTTTATTTTAAGGACATTTGAGAGGCAGTGGGTAAACTGACTCCCAGTCACAGAACTAGGATGGGTGATGCCATCGTGCCCATGCCCTGCTGATCAGCTGTGTCTGTTCTTTCATTCACCTGACTTCCCCCTCCCCCATCCCATCCCAACACTGTTCAGCCTGAAGGGATCAGAGTCGACAAAACTGTGGCCGTTCACACACTGGATCCAGAAAACCGGGGCCAAAGTGAGTCAGCCACAGCAGAAGGGTGAGACCTGGGGGTGGGGGGCAGGGGGTGAGGCAGGGCCTTGTGGGAGAGGGTGACGCCACGGGTCCCTCCCACTCCACTGGCAGACGGAGTGCAGCGAGAGGAGGTCCACGCCGCAGACCTCAGTGACCAGGTACCAGACACAGATTCAGAGACCAGGATCCTCCTGCAAGGTGAGCTGCCACTGACCCTCGCCCAGGAAGGCACAGCTCTGGAGAAGGGGGCCTAATTTCTCCGAATTCTGGGTGTATATGCTACCGTGCGTCCCCTGCCTCCACTACAGCTAGAACAGCAGGCCACCTCCCTGATCTGTTTTATAGAGGGTTCCAGGCAGTATTTAGTTCAGCAAATAGCCTCTGCTGATAGAGAAGCTTAAATGAGCAACAGTATAGTTCAAGAGCAGGAAATTCTGGAACTAATTGCCTGCGTTGGACGACTGGAGCCAGGAGGGAAAAGAAGTTCCTGGGAAAGCACCTTGTAACCTGTAAGCTGTAAGGTTTTGGGGAGAGACCCTTGGTTTTCTCATCTGTGATGGGGTGAATAATAGTACCTATGTCAAAGGCTTGTTGAGAGGATTAAATGAGATACTGTATGATGTTTCTCTAGAACAGCGCCTGGCAACAGCATGAAGCATGATCTAAGTATTGGTGACGATTGTTCTGGAATTAATTTGCCACTTGTAACAAGAGGCTCAGGGAGCAGATTTCTGTGAAGCATAAGACCCCCTTCCCTACAAATGTAGACACCCTCCCCACTCCCCTACCCCCGCCTCCTACCTCCTACCATCACATCCCCTCAGCCCCCAACTGCCCCTGACCTCTTTGGCACTGGCTGCCTGGAGCCTGGGATCGCTGGGGACAGCCCTGCCCCTTCTCACCCCACCCCATGGTGGGTGAGTTGCTTGAGCCCTGTCCTCCTGCTGGGTTGCAGGGACCCCGGTGGCTCAGTTGACTGAGGATGCCATTGACGCGGAGCGACTGAAAAACCTCATTGTGATCCCCTCGGGCTGTGGGGAGCAGAACATGAAAAGCATTACGCCCACGGTCATTGCCGTCCATTACCTGGACCAAACGGAGCAGTGGGACAAGTTGGGACCCACAAAGCGAAAGGAAGCCTTGCAGCTCATCGAAAAGGGTGGGTCTGCCTGGGAGACCCTCTCTGCTCCAGCCACCTCCAGAGCAGGGTCCTCCCTGAGACCCAGGCCCCTTTCCAGGCCACGCCCTTCCCCTAAGCTCCTCCCCTTTCAGGATCCCTTCTTTTCAAAGACCTCCCTTGACCTTTGCCCTCTCTGAGACCCTGGGCCCCTCTGAGCCCTCTAGAACTCCCTCTCTCCCTGAGGCCCCCTTGCCTCTCTGAACCCCTCTCCTCTGAGAACTCCTTCCCCTTTTAGAAGCCCCTTCCGCTCTTCTAGCAGACTTCCCTGCTCAGCCCTGAGCCCCATCATTCCTCCCTGAACCCCTGTCTCGCCCCTCAGAGAATCCTTGTCCCCTGAGCCCCTCCACTCAGCCCCTGCTCCTCTGGAGACACTTCTGGCTTCCCTGCAGGGTACTCCCAGCAGCTGGCCTTCAGACAAGACAACTCGGCTTTTGCGGCCTTCCAGAACCGGAAAGCCAGCACCTGGTGAGTGGTCTGGCACCCCACTGAGCAAGGCGGCCTTGGGTGGTCCTACCAGGTCTCGCCCCACAGGGTCCTATGCTATGGACCCTCAGCCCACATAGATGAACCGCCCACCTTGAGCTGCCACGTGGCCTGCGAACATTAAGCGCCCCCTGTGGCTAGACTGGCGCCTAACTTGGGTGGGGAAGCTGGGCCAGCCTGTAGGCCCCGCCCCTCTCTGCTCATTGGTTTCCTGGAATGGCAGTCTCTGGGTCCCGGAGGCGATTGGCTGACGCTTTGTGCCGCCCACAGGCTGACAGCCTACGTGGTCAAGGTCTTCTCTCTGGCAGCCAATCTCATTGTCATTCAGGCCGATGTCATCTGCGGAGCTGTCAGATGGCTGATCCTGCAGAGGCAGAAACCCAACGGGGTCTTCCAGGAAGATTCGCCCGTAATTGACCAAGAAATGACTGTAAGAGGCAAGGGTTTAGGGCAGGCTGGGGGGAGGGGTGGCTGTAGTCACAGGATAGACAGGAGAAAGGCTAGCCCTTTGGCTGAGAGTGTCACCATTCCATCTGAAAGACTAGAGGCCTTCAGAATCTAGTGCAAAACAGAAGTCCCTCCCCCTTCATTCAGAAAATATAGAACAACTCACAGCTGTGGGTTTCTAAATGTGGTCTCCAGGGCAGCAGTATCAGCATCACCTTCTAATTAGTTAGAAATGTATTTTCTCAAAGCTGGACTCGAGATTCAGGAATCAGACACTTCAGGAGGAGGGCCTAGGAATCAGTTGCTACAAGCCCCCCACCCCCCGCCATATGATGCTGATGCATGCATAAGGTGGAGAATCACTGCCTTAGCCTGACTTTTCAGACTTCCAATCTCACACCGTCCCCCTACCCCCATCCACATGCCATCTGCACTGAAAGGAGCCTTGCTCTACCCAGCCACGGGGCCTTTGCACATGCTGTTCTCAGTGTCTGGCATGCCAACCCTGGTCATCCTGTAAGGAAATCTTTCCTGATCTCCCCAACTGAGTCACACTCCCACTTTCCAATCTCACTGCCACATCCACTTCTCCTCCTGCACTGCACTCACCAATTTGTTACGATATGTCTGCTGGTGAGCCAATTGGTTCATGTCTGTCTACCCTACTAGATGGGGAGCACTGTGGGGGTGGGACTGGTGTTGGGTTCTTACCCACCATCTTTTCCACAGCATGAGCAACAATTGCTGAATGACTGAATATTGAAGAGTGTGGCCCACCTAGGGAGAGACACTGAGGAGATTCTCACCCCTGCCTTGACCTGCTGACCGTACAAGAGGTTTGGTCAGCATGTGGGGACATAGTGGTGATACCATCCTTATTTCCTGCTTCCCATTCTAGGGTGGCTACCAGGAGAATAAGGAGAAGGATGTGTCCCTCACAGCCTTTGTTCTCATTGCATTGGAAGAGGCTAAAGATATTTGCAATGATCAGTTCAACGTAAGTGTCCACCCACCTTCTCCTTCTCGCCTCCCTGCTCAGGGCACATCACCTTGGTGGGTGGGCTGTTGCATTCAGGTGATTCCCAGTCCTCTCAGTGCAATAGCAGCCACCACAGCAGCCATAATACCCATAAAACCATAATAATTCCCAGCATTTTTGAGCAGCTAACTAAGATGCTCATCTAAGTGCTGCACATGCTAAGTCCTGTAATCCTTCTGAGAGTCCGAGACGTAGGCTACTCTTCTTATCCCCAGGTTACAGGGGAGAAAACTAAGACAGAAAGAGATCAAAGAATGGGTCCTTTCTGCCTGCTTTACCCTGTCCAGAGAGTGTCAGCCAATTTCAACAAAAGCCCCCTCAGCCTGCTTTCCCCATCACTGCTACATGATCAGTGCAGCATACCTTGCTGCTTCCCTGAAGAAAAGGCACAACCCAGACCCAAGAACACGTCAAGGCTACTCTCTTAGTTCAGGAGATCTTTTAGGAAATTTTCCAAGGGGCCCATGACCCCCAAAAGGAAGTGATTACAAATATTGGCTCACGGCTGTCTCTTTTTCCTCTGGTTTTGGTTCTGAAGCAGAGAAGCTTAGAAAGGTGGACTCCCGAGAGTCTCTGCAATTACTCCCTCTGCTTTGTCCTGGGGTTTGAGAGTGGTTTGTTTGACCTTAGCTTGCCAAGGTGGAGAGCCCAGGATTTTACCTCAGGCAGCTGCCCCTCCCTTCATCGGACTCAAGATAGAGGGGACAGGGCTGTTGACTTGAGAGCCTCAGAGGGACCCAGGCCGTTCTGGGGCCAATAATTCCTCTCTCCCTGCCACCCAGCCTGCCCGGCAGAACTTGGCTGCCTTCCTTGGGGAAATAGCCAGACCAAACCTAGAGCTTTCAGATTCCCATAGGGGAAATTCTGATTGGCCCTCCCGGGGTCAGGTGGTCATACCTGGACCAATCAGCTGAGGCCAGGAAGTAGGTCTTACTGAGCAAATATGGCTGCTTCCACTGTGGTCCAGTGAATGCAAGACCGAAGTTTCTGCAAAAGTCAAGAGTAGATGGAGAACAGGCAGCTGGGCAGGGAAGCTGGGCAGCTGGGAAAGGATTAGTTTCTGCTGCAAGGCACCAACATTTTCTTCTACAAAATGGCAACACTGTAGCAGGATTCTTGCAGAGAGAGTGGTGACATAGAGGCTTATTTTCCAGGAAGCAACTTTATTCGTGCCAGCAGGCTCAGTTGGGTTTATACCCTAAGAACTGAGCCCCTAACTCCAGGTGGCATAGTGTTTTACATATCTTTTACTCCTTTGTCTCCCATATATGGTAACACACAAACATGCAGTCTGATCAAGGGATCTCATGTTACAGGGTCATGAGGGATGTCAAGTACTCTTTATAGCCAGGTTGCCTGAGGTTTTGTTTTTGTTTTGCTTATTTTCCTTAGGGAGGGGCCCTACCGCAACAGTATAACTGAGCATAGCATAGGCTATAGAAGCAGATTGCTGGGGTGCAGATCAGGAGTGTGCTGGAACTAGGGTGCCTTGGGTGGCTTGGTCAGTTGAGCCTCTGATGTCAGCTCAGGTCATGATCTCCCTGTTAGGGAGTTCCAGCCTGGTATTGGGCTCTGCGCTGACATCTTGCAGCTTGGAGCCTGGAGCCTGTTGTCCTCTCTCTCTCTCTCTCAAATACCAATAAACATTAAAAAAAAAAGTGTGCTGGGATCAGTCTGTGAAAGCCAACCGTTAAACTTCCAGGACTTACACAAGCCAGTTGTTAAACACAATCATTCTTTTCAAGCAAATTATGTAAACCGACTTTAGACTAAACACTAAGCATTAAAAGCAAAGGTAAGAAACACCCAAAACTCATCACTTCCTGATTGTTTTATTACTTTCCCTCATCATCTATGACAAATGTATCCATCTCGAGGTTATGTACCTATAAGGTGGAAATGCTATCTACTTCTGTGCTACTGCCCCCCTCCCCCCAACTCTGCATTCACTGACTCCACATAGTTTGAAATTGGCC